AAAAAGGCTCTGATCAACTGAAGAACTGAAGAACTGAAGAGTTTAGCATTTTCAAGAGCAAAGTGTAAGCCCGCCCACCCGCCCTATCTCGATTGTGATGATTTTTTTTTATTCGCCGTGAACCTCTGGGGCGGAGCTTAACTACAAAATACTTGTTTCATTACAAGAAATTATAAACATGTTTTTGAGTTCGTGTTGGTCAAAGAATACTATGTACATTAAGAAAAAGAAAGGAAATTATAAACCCCGCCCACCCACCCTATCTCAATTGTGATGATTTTTTTATTCTTAGAAACTTGAACCACGTTTAAAATACTAAATTTTTTAGTCACGTATGACCTCTTGAAAATTAGACCTTGTGATGAAAATCTCCTATTTTTTTCAACTTTACTCTCGAAACTTAAAAAAAACACCCTTAAAATACGAGCGCAGCGAGCACGTTTAGCAGATAGTCACAAATATTTTTAGGATTCGTCGTTTTTAGACATTAAAAATTTTCTTATCAGTAATTTAGCTTCCCAGGTAGACTGACGGGTAATTTTTAATTACACCTGAACGTGCTCGCTGCGCTCGCATTCTTATCGTTTTTTTTTTTAATAATGCCGTCTCATAAAAACGTTTACAAGTGAATGAAATGAACTGAACTGACCTAAAATTAAAAAAGGCTCTGATCAACTGAAGAACTGAAGAACTGAAGAGTTTAGCTCTTTCAAGGGCAAAATGTTAGCCCGCCCACCCGCCCTATCTCAATTGTGATGATTTTTTTTATTCGCTGTGAACCTCGGGGGCGGAGCTTAACTACAAAATACCAATTTTTTCACAAGAAATTATAAACATGTTTTTGAGTTCGTGTTGGTCAAAGAATACTATGTACATTAAGAAAAAGAAAGGAAATTATAAACCCCGCCCACCCACCCTATCTCAATTGTGATGATTTTTTTATTCTTAGAAACTTGAACCACGTTTAAAATACTAAATTTTTTAGTCACGTATGACCTCTTGAAAATTAGACCTTGTGATGAAAATCTCCTATTTTTTTCAACTTTACTCTCGAAACTTAAAAAAAACACCCTTAAAATACGAGCGCAGCGAGCACGTTTAGCAGATAGTCACAAATATTTTTAGGATTCGTCGTTTTTAGACATTAAAAATTTTCTTATCAGTAATTTAGCTTCCCAGGTAGACTGACGGGTAATTTTTAATTACACCTGAACGTGCTCGCTGCGCTCGCATTCTTATCGTTTTTTTTTTTTAATAATGCCGTCTCATAAAAACGTTTACAAGTGAATGAAATGAACTGAACTGACCTAAAATTAAAAAAGGCTCTGATCAACTGAAGAACTGAAGAACTGAAGAGTTTAGCTCTTTCAAGGGCAAAATGTTAGCCCGCCCACCCGCCCTATCTCAATTGTGATGATTTTTTTTATTCGCTGTGAACCTCGGGGGCGGAGCTTAACTACAAAATACCAATTTTTTCACAAGAAATTATAAACATGTTTTTGAGTTCGTATTGGTCAAAGAATACTATGTACATCAAGAAAAAGAAAGGAAATTATAAACCCCGCCCACTCCCCCTATCCCAATTGTGATGAGTTTTTTTATTCCTAGAAACTTGAACCACGTTCAAAATGACAAATATGTTTTTTGCAATTAGGCTCCGCCCCTAGGTCTACCAACGAATGAAAATTTCAGTACTATTTGATCAGGCAGGTATGGGTGGGGCTTAATTTTTGGCATTCATTTTTTCTTAATACAAATAGTATTTTTTGAACAACACAATACTCAAAAATTTGTTTTTATTCCTCGTAGAGAATTTTGCAATTAAACTCCGCCCTTTTGGCGCACGACGAATGAAAAAATCATCGGAATTGAGACAGGGTGGGTGGGTGGGGCTTATATTTTGCCTGTTTGTTTTAATATGTGTAGACTTCTTGTATGGAAATATCGATTTAGCAATTAGGCTCCGCCCCTCGGTCTGACAACGAATGGAAAATTCATTACGATTGAAGTCGAGACGGATGGGTGGGGCTTCTCTATGGTTTTCTTTTTTAATTAGTGCATTTAGTTTTCTTTGTATAACACGGTTACATAAGATCATATTTCACATGGTAATTTAAGACCAATAAAAAAATCGTCAGAATTGAGACAGGGTGGGTGGGCGGGGCTTATATTTTGCCTCTTTGTATTAATATGTGTAGACTTCGTATAGGGAAATATCGATTTAGCAATTGGGCTCCGCCCCTTGGTCTGACAACGAATGGAAAATTCATTACGATTGAGGTCGAGACAGATGGGTGGGCGGGGCTTATATTTTGATTGTATGATTAGAGAATTATTAAAAAATTAGTTTCATCTTTTACCTATTTTAAATCTATTTTTTTTTATAAAAACGATTTTTGTTAAAAAACGTGTGTATTGCATATTTTTGGCTCTCGGCTTCGCCTCGAGTGGAAATTTTTAAGACTATAGAACTCTAATTTCGATTTAAAATAGTTTCTTTATGGTAACATTGACTCAGAAGAAAAATAATTTTCATATTTTTATATTTTCTTCTTTTGTCTGAGACGAAGTCGAGGACTGAATTTACTCAGTGACTTTGGTAGTATAACTTCAAAGCATTTACTGAATGATAAGAAAATTACTGAAAAATTGATTTGACTTTGTTTCTTTATGTCTCATATATAATTTGAAGAAAAACACTGCACACTCCTCAACTCTCGCCTTCGCCTCGCGTAGAAATTTCTTTACTAAGGACCTCTAATTTCGTTCTAAATGAGTTGAAGTGCGGAAATATTTACTTAAAATGAAAAATATTTATCATATTCTTATGTAGGTATAGTATGTAATTTTAATATTACCCGAGGCGAAGCCGAGGGTTGAATTCACTTTTACATTAAAAATTAAAAATATTATCCGGTAATTATATATTCGTCAACTCTCGGCTTCGCCTCGAGAGGAAATTTCGATCCAAAATAGTTTCATTGCGGGAAAAATTGACTTAAAGAGAAATTAATTTTTATTTTCTTATGTGAAGTACGTAATCTTACTTTAAACAAAAAGACAAAATGTAGGCCCGCCCACCCGCCCTATGTCAATTGTGATGATTTTTTTATTCGCCGTGAACCTCGGGGGCGGACCTTAACTGCAAAATACTTAATGCTTTACAAGAAATTATAAACATGTTTTTGAGTATCGTGTTGTTAATATACTATGTATATTAAGAAAAAAAGTCAAAATATTAACCCCGCCCACCCACCCCATCTCAATTGTGAAGATTTTTTATTCTTAGAAACTTGAACCACGTTTAAAATGACAAATTTTTGTAAGAAAATCCATATTTGGCAATTAGGCTCCGCCCCTAGGTCTGCCAACGAATGAAAACTTCATTGCTATTTAGATAAATAATAACAATATAAAAAATCATCAGAATTGAGACAGGGTGGGTGGGCGGGGCTTATATTTAGACTTTTCGGCTTCGCCTCGAGTAGAAATTTCTTGACTGTAGAACTCTAATTTCGATCTAAAATAGTTTGAAATGGAAAATATTGACTTGAAAAATGTTCACTTTGGTGTATAAAGTAATTTTTTTTTGCCTGAGACGAAGCCGAGGATTTCACTTACTCAGTGACTTTGATCGTAGAACAATTTACTGTATGAAAAAAAAAAATGAAAAATTAATATAATCTTTATATATTTTGAAAGGAATTAGTATCTGTTCTAAAGCAGTTGCAGTGGAAACAGGCTTAAAAAGAAAAATAATTTTTGTATTCTTATGGATAGCACGTCATCTTACTTTTACCCGAGTCGAAGCCGAGGGTTGAATTTAATCATCCACTTGACCGCAAAAATTGAAAATAATTGCCATGTGATGTAAATTCAAACCAAATTAATTTTCATATGGTAAATTGGTTTATTTTACTTAATTAATCGATCCTTCATTTCATAATTCGTTCGAAAAAAACTGCAAATACACAAAATTCAATTATTTTTAATTTAATATTGAAGCGTTTGGATATTTTTAACCGCTTTCACCCGAAATTACTAAAAATTTAAATCGTGATACGACTACAAACGACTCTTGAAACATTTCAAACTCCACTAAACTAAAAAATACCGTTTTAGCAACGTCGAAACCGCGTTAGCTTCCTCCAAGAACCCAAACTCACTCCTCGGAGGCAGATTTTGGGTAAACATTTGTGGAATCCGTGGCCGTGGAATGATCGAGAAGCGACCGAAAAAATTTCGAGATTACGGAGGCGATAGACGAGATTCTAATTAAGTTGACATTCTATAAGTAGGTTGAGAGCGTGTTTTCACAGGTAAAGGTGTGAAGTTTAACGAAAATCGACGCGAGAGAGGAAGAGAGATCTGAAGCGATCGACGTAATTGGAAAGCAAAGATTTATCTTTGTTGCTACCGTGGAAGCGTTTATTCTCCTTGTTTGACTTAGCCGGTGTTTGTCTTGCTTTTATTGTCGAGTTTTTCCAATATCGGTACGATTGGACGACTTCGAACAAACAAATCTGAGGTCGTGGGCGGCTTTCAAAAACGCAAAGTACGTCGCGGATTAATTTTTTTAATCACACGATTCTATCATCGCTGCAATTGAACATTTCCTGTACAACGCAGTCGTTTTTCCACTGTTTTGTTTCATAAATAATACGTCGGTTAGTATTAAGTATGATCATTAGTCCACGTATTGCATGCAGGTACTATTACTATTACCAACACAACGACAACAACTACACTAATCCAAACATCCACTTAACTCGTCCCTTTCAACTCCTTATCTACGATAAAACCCTTCTCGAACGGCGACAATCTCCGAAACAACCCCATCACTTACGATTAATTATTTTGTTTACTCGGCTCGAATTACCAGAAGAATAACAGGGAAGTCAAACTTCCGCGATAAGTCATAAACGGGACAAATTAAATGCCGAAATAAATGGGACGCAGTCGTTGTGAGCCCTAGTTGGATATAAGTAATCGTAAAATACCTTTTCGTTTTGGTACGCCGTTACGGCGATGAACTCGGTTTCCTTGAAGACGTACGTCCGAAACGTCGAGTAGGGCAGTTTGAGGATGTCGTTGGCTCTGACGAGGTGAAACCGGGGCTGGTATTTGTGCATGGAGTTGAGTATCGTCTGCAAGGAAAAATAACAGTGAAAGTCCGTCCAGGCGGTAAAGATTGTACTATAAGAAAAGGAAATACGGAAAAATTGCGAAATTGGAGTGTAGTTTTTCGAAAAAGACATATTTTGTAATTGAAACCCAAAATTTTCAGTACAATGACTATTTTTCGTAATTCCAATTTTTTCATATATAGAGGTAACAATTTTTTTTCTTAAAACCATTTAAACACAAAATTTGATCAGTTTAATTTAAGAATCAACTATGTGTTAAAAAATTCAAATTTTTTGTAAGTTTGCCACATCCGTGTTTTTGGAATTACTGTGTTTTTTTTTAAATTTCAAATATTAACAAAGACAATTTTTAAGATAAGTACGAACACAAGTCTATAATTTTATTTATTTTTTGTTGCAAATAAATCAGTATCCGAAATTCGAAACAAAAAAAAAAAATAATTTGTTGTATTTCTCAAACTAAATAGTTTTTTTGTTGAAACGCTTTTTCAAAAAAAGAATCAATTAGTCTAATAAACAGAAAATTTACAGTCCCGGAATTTTCGTTTAAATAAATATTTTCCGTAATTCCGACTTTCTCAAATGATCTTTTTGTTATAAAAATTCCTCAAAAATATTTTTTAAATAAGTAATATCTTGAATAATAATGTTTTATCTTATCATCAATTAAACACAAAATTTGATTACATTTTAGTTTAAGAATTACATCAAATTATAAAATAAGACGGCTCTCAAAAAATTTTTGAATTTTTTGTTAAATCCTTGTTTCTGGTATTACTGTATTTTTTAAGTTCAAGTATTAATAAAGACAATTTTTAAGATAAGTACGAACACAAATCTATAATTTTATATATTTTTTGTTGTAAATAAATCAGTATCCAATATTCGAAACAAAAAAAATGATTTGTTGTATTTCTCAAACTGAATAATTTTTTTTCTTGAAAACGCTTTTTCAATAAAAGAATAAATTAGTCTAATTAACAGAAAATTTTCAGTCACGGAATTTTCGTTTAAATAAATATTTTTCATAATTCCGATTTTCTCAATTGATTTTTTTGTTATAAAAATACCCCATAAATATTTTTTAAATAAGTAATATCTTGTATAATAATGTTTTGTCTTATCATCAATTAAACACAAAATTTGATTACATTTTGGTTTAAGAATTACATCAAATTATAAAATAAGACGGCTCTCAAAAAATTTTTGAATTTTTTGTTAAATCCTTGTTTCTGGTATTACTGTATTTTTTACTTTCAAGTATTAATAAAAACAATTTTTAAGATAAGTACGAACACAAATCTATAATTTTATTTATTTTTTGTTGTAAACAAATCAGTATCCGAAATTCGAAACAAAAAAAATAATTTGTTGTATTTCTCAAACTGAATATTTGTTTGTTGAAAACGCTTTAAAAAAAAAAAAACAATTAGTCTAATTAACAGAAAAATTTCAGTTCCGGAATTTTCGTTTAAATAAATATTTTCCGTAATTCCGATTTTCTCAAATAATTTTTTTGTTATGAAAATATCCCAGAAATATTTTTCAAATAAGTAATATCGTGTATAATAATGTTTTATCTTATCATCAATTAAATACAAAATTTAATTACATTTTAGTTTAAGAATTACATCAAATTATAAAATAAGACAGCTCTCAAAAATTTTGATTTTTTTATTATTTTGTTACATCCTTGTATTTTAATTTCAAATATTAATAAAGACAATTTTTTATGATAAGTACGAACACAAATCTATAATTTTAATTATTTTTTGTTGTAAATAAATCAGTATCCGAAATTCGAAACAAAAAAAAATAATTTGTTGTATTTCTCAAAGTGAATAATTTTTTTTGTTGAAAACGCTTTTTTAATAAAAGAATCAATTAGTCTAATTAACAGAAAATTTTCAGTCACGGAATTTTCGTTTAAAGAAATATTTTTCATAATTCCGATTTTCTCAATTGATTTTTTTGTTATAAAAATACCCCATAAATATTTTTTAAATAAGTAATATCTTGTATAATAATGTTGTGTCTTATCATCAATTAAACACAAAATTTGATTACATTTTGGTTTAAGAATTACATCAAATTATAAAATAAGACGGCTCTCAAAAAATTTTTGAATTTTTTGTTAAATCCTTGTTTCTGGTATTACTGTATTTTTTAATTTCAAGTATTAATAAAAACAATTTTTAAGATAAGTACGAACACAAATCTATAATTTTATTTATTTTTTGTTGTAAACAAATCAGTATCCGAAATTCGAAACAAAAAAATAATTTGTTGTATTTCTCAAACTGAATAATTTGTTTGTTGAAAACGCTTTAAAAAAAAAATCAATTAGTCTAATTAACAGAAAAATTTCAGTTCCGGAATTTTCGTTTAAATAAATATTTTCCGTAATTTCGATTTTCTCAAATAATTTTTTTGTTATAAAACTATTCCAGAAATATTTTTCAAATAAGTAATATCGTGTATAATAATCTTTTATCTTATCATCAATTAAACTCAAAATTTGATTATTTTAGTTTTAGAAATACATCAAATTAAAAAAAGATTTTTGTTTTGGAATTAGTGTTTTTTATTCACAATTCCAAGTATTAAGAAAGAAAAATTTTGAGATAAATACCAACACAAATCTGTAAATTTACATTTTTATTATAAACACGCCAACAAGCGAAATTATAAACAAAAAAATAATTTGTTGTATTTCTCAAACTGTATAATTTTTTGTTAAACTCCTCCAAAAAAAATCAAATAGTTTAACAGAAAATTTTCAGCCTGCAGAATTTTCGTTTAAATGGATATTTTTCGCAATCCCGTTTTTTTCAATAAATTTTTTTGTTATAGGAACTCCCAAAAGATATTTTTTAAATTTGTAAAATTTGTATAATAATATTTCATCACTAATTAAACTCAAGAAAGAAAAATTTTTAGAAAAATACCAACACAAATCTGTAATTTTACATTTTTTATTGTAAATACATCAACATACGAAATTATAAACAAAAAATAATTTGTTGTACTTCTCAAATCGAATAAAATTTTTGCTGAAAACGGTCTTCCAAGAAAAGAATCAAACAGTTTAACTGACAGAAAATTTGCAGTACCCGAATTTTCAATTAAATGAGTATTTGCGTAATTCCGATTTTATAGATGAAATTTTTTTATATAAGTTCCCAAACAAATATTTTTTAAATTTATAAAATTTCGTATGTTAATATTTTAGCTTATAATGGGTCAAATCTTAAAAGAAACATATTGCTGAAAATTTCTGAAATTCTTATTGCGTAAGTTTTAAAGGAAAATAATTTGTTGTATTTCTCAAACTGAATACTTTGGAATTACATAATTAAAGAACTTGAAAATATAAAATTTCCTAGGTAATGTATTTCAAGATAGTAAAACGGACAAAGAACTTACAACTGCATATTTCTTGCATAGCTCGCTTCGCTCGCGAAAAAATTGCGCGAGTATTTATCAACATTTTGTTTTGCAGCACATATCTTATCTAAAAAAATTAAAAAGCAACCTAACTCACCCATAAATTATATTAATGGTTGACACTTCGCTGATTAAGCAACAATTAAAAATGCCAAAGCACTACTTTAACACTTTTGGAAACATTAAGTACGTGTTTAGCAATCTCGAAAAATTTAAATATTTATCATTTACCACACAAACACTAAAACCGCCCATAACAGTTAGTTTTATTTCCCTGCTTATTTTAAAAACTTAGCATAATTAACTGCCATAAATTACCGAACCCATCATAAATCCACCATGTCACCTCGTCCATTTTACTGCCAACCACTCGAAAACATACGCGTTTTTGCGCAAATTTGCGCAAAAAAACCGCATTCGAATTCAGCTACTCGCCGCCAGGTGTCGCCCCGGGGCCCGACTGCAGCGCCGCGCTAACAGCCTCCGATTTAGCGATCCAGCTTATGCATATTTGAAAAGATGCCACGGCATAATATGATGTGGAAACCTGTTTTGTTTCCTTCGATGGATGATTTGTGCCAAGCTCGTATGAGATACCTGTGTGGTCCTGGCTGGATTCGGTCGCACACCGAGCACTAAACATTTAAATATTCCGAGATACAACGTTTAGATAGAGAGCCGCTCTTGATACCGTTGCGAGGGCCGGCTTGTAGCGATCGGGCGAACGGTAACGAGAACGATTTTTCATTTTTGGAGGTTAATTAGGGGGGCGCGGGCTGGGGCTCGGGTGGACGCGGACGATAACGAGGACGGACGACGGATGGCAGCTGTCAAACGAGCGGGACGAGCAAGTGTATTGCTTTTGGGAAATACGGGTTTGGAATTAATTGAATGATTTTCGTTGAAAACTGGCTTCCAAAAATAATTAAAAACAATAAATAACAGAAAATTTGCAGTCCACGAATTTCCAATTGCAGTAATGTTTTTCGTAATTCCGATTTTGTCAAGAATTGTTTATAGAAAATACGTTTTTTCAATTTTTAAAATTTCGTATATAATCAACACCAAATTTTTGAAAATAAACACAAAGTCCAAACAATTTTGAGGCTATTTTTTCGTAAAATTGTTATATGTGTATTTTTGGAATTACTGTTTTTGGGATTCCAAATACCATATTATGGAAGAAAATCTATAACATAAATAACAGCCCATTTCTATAATTTAACAATTTTCTTTAAATAGATCAATACACGAAAATAGAAATAAAAATACATTTTTGTATTTCTCAAACTGGATATGTAATGTAACTTTTGAAATTACTGTTTTTTTTTTTAATTGGAATGTTATGTATGAAAATTTATAACATAAATACCCCAAAAATCTATAGTTTAACAGTTTTTTTGGAATAAATACAGTTATCTACAAAAATAGAAATAGAACTAAATTTTGTATTCCTCAAACTAAATAATTTTTGACGAAAACTGTCCTGAAAAAAAAATAAATAAATAACTGGAAAGTTGTAATTCTAGAATTTTCAGTTAGTTGAACATTTT